TTTCTCATCTTTATTCTGATGGTGGTGCGTAGAAAGCAGGTAAGTCCTCTTCTTGTATATATCAATCTTTATAGGAAAGCATTTATTCTTGTATATATCAATTTTTACAGGTAACCATTCTTCTTGTATGTATCAAACTTTACAGGTAAGCATCCATTTTGACAGGTAAGCCTCCTTCTTGTATGTATAAAACTTTACAGGTAAGCATTCTTCTTGTATGTACCCATTTTTACAGGTAAGCATTTTTTTGTATCCATCAATCTTTAAAAGTATGCACTCGTCTTGTATCCATCAATCTTTAAAGGTAGGCACATCTTGTATCCATCTACCTTTAAAGGTAGGCACATCTTGTATCCATCTTTCTTGAAAGGTTGGCACGTCTTGTATCCATCTACCTTTAAAGGTAAGCACGTCTTGTATCCATCTATCTTTAAAGGTAAGCACTTGTCTTGTAAACATCTATCTTTGAAGGTAAGCACATCTTGTATACATCTATCTTTAAAGGTAAGCACGTCTTGTATCCATCTATCTTTAAAGGTAAGCATGTCTTGTATACATCTATCTTTAAAGGTAAGAACCCATCTTGTATCCATCAATCTTTAAAGGCAAGCACTTCTTGTATACCTCTATCTTTAAAGGTAAGCACGTCATGTATACATATATCTTTAAAGGTAAGCACTCGTATTGTATGCATCAATCTTTAAAAGTTGGGACCTTTTGATCTAGGACTGTGATGCCAAGATTCTTTCACCTATTGTTTTACAATACGCATTTATTACGTAAAGATCTATCTTTTTGAGAGTCCAATGACAGATACCCAGTTTAATTTTATAAGTGTAATCAACTGAAACAAATCGTCATAGAAGGGCTGAACAGACACTGCAAAGTCACAACCTGTAGGCAGTGGAGACAAATAGCACTGCACACAGGTTACGACGCCGCAGGTCAATGTTGAGGCCTACTGTAAAGAATAATCTTGGATCAACAATGGCTATTTCTATACTCACTTTGATATGATTACCTCTTATTGTTATATGTTGTGATTACCTCTTATGATTACCTTTTACCGTTTCGATTACTTATGATCAGCTTATTGACAAACATAGTGTTTCCTTTTTTAAGGTACGTGACCTCTGGAGGGTGGCCTGTTGTGAGCGGCGCCAGACCCAGAAGAGCAAACAAAAGAAGCAACTGTCCCCAACATCGTCCAGCTCCATGTCCTCCAGCAACAGCCTCAGCAACAGCAACCGAACCCTTCCCAGCTTCATCAACCACGCCTATGATGTGGGCGCCCTGGTCCTCAGGCCAGAGCTTAGGCGTGAAAATTCCATGTCCATTTGATGTGTTAACGTTCCTTATATGTATTTGTCTTTTTTGTCCGTATCAATGTCTGTCTATGCATATGTATATATCTAGTACATCCTGCCAATGGTTCTTGCAGGTTACCAACCATGCTCCCTTAAAAACACTTTTTTTTTAACCTTTATTTTTATGTTAGTCCATTAGTCAGATATATAGATGCACAGTTGTAAGAATCTCAATAAAGAACTTCTTCTTTGCAGTTGTATCACTGTAACTGGAAAAAAAGAACAGTAGGCCTACATGGAAATTCTTAGGAAGATTGTTAATAAAACTAATTGTATAGAGCTGTATCTCCCAGTTCCTGATTGACAGGTGTAAAAAGAAGAGATACTCTCTCCTCCATTGCCTCACTCTCAGAGGGGTGGAGGGTCTCCTTTAAAAAAATGTATATAAGCTTTAAAAAGATAAGATAAGATAGATAACATAATTTTTACTGGTCCAATCAAATGGAAATTCAGTTTGACTACAATTGACCACCTCAGCAAGTAGCTACTGTAACAATAACATTATAGATGCAAATACGAACAACATTCACTCACGAAAGACATACACACTCACAACCAGCGCTTTATTAGACTTCTATGTACTTCTCAATGAGGACAGATGATCTTGTAACACTCTGACCGAAAGTGGGATAAAGGAATTTTAAAATCTTTCTGTTTAAGTCTAAACTGCGTTCAGTATCCTTTTTTTTAAAAAAAAATAGACCTAAATCTATTTCAATTTTTAATTGTATATAGTGTTCAGACTATAATGGCTATCGAATAGGATAATCTCCAACACATTGACTTTAATAACTTGATCGAAGAATTTTTTAAAGCCTAGTCTGTTGAAATACAGACTGTTAACACTAAATCAATATATATGCTGCCTTGATAATAATCTGATCCACTAGATCAGATAATTAAAAATTTTAATCAACATTATTTTCTCAAAGCTTGTTTAAATGTTCAATATTATTTTAAAACATAATGGATAGTTCTTTACAAATATGATATCCTTGTACTTATATATAGTAGTACTACAATTTTTAAAAAATTAAAGTCTTCGAAATATGTTAGGGTATAATTCTACAGAATCATGCCTAGGGCCTCGCCACACAATTATTCCTGGCATTGTTTAAGATAATAATAATAATAATAATAATCTTTAATGTCCGTATGGAAATTTGTCTTACAATTTGTGCATTACACCAAACAAAAAACATTATAACTATAAGAAACCAAACAGTACATTCACACTAGACTCACTCATAATTTACATGTGACAAGGTTTATATCAGATTGTTCCTATTTAATGATTTGATTGCCAGGGAAACAAAACAAAAGATCAATATAGATTTAATCAGACGGGATGTTGTGTTGTTTGATAGAAGTGTTTTCTTTGTACACAAAAACAAAACTGGAAATTGTTATTCGAAAGGAAACCATGTGTCATAAATGTTTACATATGTCATCTGCACATGCGCCATTGTCTGCTTTGAGTTCTGTAATTTCAGTCAGCTATTTGTAATTGTGTCAGCCATGATGAATTACAGAATATGTGCTTGTTTTTTTTTTTTTTTAAATCTCGTGCTAGTTATTCAGTTTATGATAAACTATAGCAGGGACTCAGGGGAATTAAAACATACAGAGGGGAGGTGACTAGCTAAAAAAATGATACTCCGAAAAATGTTTAAGTTATCTTTCTTTCTTTCTTTTATTTTTGTGGTTGTTATGGATTATTTTACAGTTTTTTCTTTTTTTTTAATATTTAAATAAAATATTTTCTAAATAGATACTTGTTGTTTAAGACCTAAATATACTTCAATATAAATAACAATGACATTAATTTTTTTTTTCAATTGTAGTAACTAATAATATCTGTGAACAATTCGGATATGGCCTAATCGATTAGAACGTAGCAACTCTTATAAACTTTCACCTACTTCTGAAATCGTTTGCAATATATGCTGAAACAATTTCACTCTTTTCGTTTTTAACAAGACTTCGGTATTGAGCTAAATATGCTATATATACCTAGCATACAGCCATACATTCAGTAACTAGGTCCCAACTTTAATAACCTATATAAGTGTTTGTTCTGATCAAACAATGTTTCATGTAATGTCTGCACTGAAGCTTTAAAATTCTATTTCAAAATGATACTTGTAAAAACAAAATATCCTTTTCAAACCTTGCGCTCCATAGGACAGATGATGCAAATGGTCATCTGTCTTAATGTTCAGCGTTTTAACGAGCGTGCTATCAAGCCAGCACAACGACCAAACCGCCTTTACTTTCCCAAACCAATTTCAGGTACCCCCCAACCATGAGCTGGGTGAACTCATGGGTGTCCTAAACACCCTGAAGTTGAACAATCCTGCCTTCACACACCGAGATTCGAATCCGGGACGCCTCGGTTCTAAAGTCTAAGGGCTTTACCACTGTGCTACCACGCCCCTATGCGTGTGCTGCGTTAAAAAATTACTTCTACTTTAATTTACAGAATTTAATAATAATAATTTTTTTTGGGGGGGGGGGGGGGAGTCGTGTTGCGGATGAGATAATACTGAAAAGCACATATACTGGACCAAAACACTAAAAGTGCAGGCTAATCACACAAAGGTCTGTTGAGATTTCCGGCCCTCTTCCTGCGTTAATAGAATGACTCGCCTAGTATATGCTTTTTTGATGTTCTTTGTTTCGATTTGACAAAATGGTTGTGAGGAAGACAGAAATTCTTTAATTGAATATTATATTTCATATCGTGAACGTCTTAATTCAAGTTGTAGTTATTTGCATGTAATATCTTGCTCTTTATAGATTTTATAATTCAACAACCTTTTTATTACTATGTTACAGTAAAGTTGTTGTTTTTTTTATTCGAGATTTTTATGACGAACTAAACAAGAAACGCTAAAATGACCTTCAGAATTGCCAACAAAATATACGTTACAGTGCGGAGGGTATGGGCAACTTCTGCAATGCCCAAATGAGGTTACAAGTCTATCCCAAATCTTTTAAAAAAAGTAGAGTATCAAAAAATGTACACCGGATACACCAAAAAAGCTTAAATGCACAGTTTTTCTGCCATATATAAAAATCTCTAATAACTGAAGTAAAACAAACATGGAACATGGCGTACTGAAAAGGACAGACTTTGCCATAATCATTTGTCTTCAGTCTATTAAGTGTTATACTTTGGACTCGCTTCTAATCCTTATCTTATCTTATATAATACAGACGTTACTTCAAAAAAAAAAAAAAAAGATGATGATTGCTTCCTACGCGTCATGCATTCAGTCATGCATGCTTACCAATGACTTAAATTCTGCCAAGTCACTGGTTTTCCTGGCTAGCTTAGGCAACCCATTCCATGCTCTAACAGTAGGAAAGAAGGAGTATTTGTACAAATTTGTCCTAGCATATGAAATAAAATGTTGTGTCTATATATTTGTGTCTTTCTGAGTATTTTATTAAATTTTGTATATTTAGACTATGGTTCAGAGTTTTATGTATAATTGCTACTTTAATTCTGAGTAGAGTGTCATGGGATACGTTCTGGGATACGAGCTTACATTCTTCCCAGAAGTTTGTTCAGACAGGCAGATGGAGGCAAGCTTCCATGGGCCTAGAGTTCCAAGAGTCATAGACTTAACTCTTAAGACAATGACAAGAAGAAGAATGTCATGAGCCCCGTTAATCTATTCCGGTTGTGAAGGCACTCATGCCAGTAACACCCAGTGACACTTTTCGGTAACATAGTTATAGTTTCTACAACTCTTTTTTTCTGACACAAAACATATATTACCTAATGTTATGTTTTTGTTACTTGACGTTAACCTATGCACCACACCATGATATTTGCATCACTAGACATAAGCAGACGATATTTAAATGCAGCAGATTTGCATCAGTTGCCAAAGGCTAAAGTTCTAAGATCAAAAACAGGTTTTTCCTTTTTTTCCTGTACTTTTAATTATACCTTTAACGTGAAGTGACAACAAATGTACACATTGAGTGCATGATATTTGGTAAACAAAATTTACCGTTATGGTAATTACAATATCAAAAAGTAATTTGTACCTGTAGTTTTGGGTTATGTTTCTTGTTTTAAGCCAAAACTACGGCCCGTGGGGACGTACTTGGTCTTTAAAGCGGTGATGTGATTTTTGTTTCGCATTTCTATATTGTTTTTTTTTTTTTTCTGTGAAAAGTTGATGATGATTTTGTAAAAGATTAAAAATAAAACTTTGGAACGAGAAGAAAATGGTGTTCATTGTGCTGTTTTGATTGTGCTGTATGCATTTTGGTGATTTTGTTGTGTTTATTTGAGGCATATATATGTATGACCAAAAAAGCTATGGACAGTGAAAAATACTTGGGTCTCAGCTCAGGAAGAAAAACGTACAATCTGAAAAATTGCCAGCTCCTCTACCACCGAAGCAAAAGCCACCTTAACCTGCGCTATCTGTGGACGGGAGTGTCTCTCCAAAATAGGGCTCCACGGCCACACGAGGAAGTGTGCTCTGAGATGAACCCTCGTCGTTCTACCACTGAAGGAGGCCAATGATGATGAATATATGTATATATAGCTCCTCCTTCGTGATTGAAGATGAGCACATTTGTAATATCCTATGGAGTCGCAGATGACCCAGCCGTATACGTATAATGGGTAGGTTTGGTCAGTCGCAGATAGGCGCTCTTTCGCTCTTTCTTTCTTCTTTCTTGGTTTGAGATAGAAGGTTGATGAAGACATAATAATTGAGAATATTCATGTCTATTTCAAATAGAAATTTAAGCTAACAAGCTTAAGAGGAGAAAAAAAAACATATTCATAAGTCAACAAATTTGTATATTGTCACGTATTACAAATTGAATTCTACTTTTAAATGGCTTGTCTAGGGGAACGTGACAATAGAAAAAGGTAGTTGTGTCACTTATCTTAAGTCTGAATTTAATCAGAGACTTACAATGAATAACAAAAAAAAAAAAAAAATGACACAAGAAATCGGAAGGTAAAATATCAACTTAATGTTTAATCATAATATAACTCAATACAAAATGGAAGGGTTGACTAAAACCCTTTTACAAAAATGGCTTGTAAAAAATATTACAATACAAGAGTTTGAAAATATAATTACAAATACAAGCAAGGCCTTGAAAAAGAAAAAATCTTAACTTACACGATCGATTGGTATACCACGCACGGGTCACGCAATGTCTCTGCTATTCTGTCTCACGGCTGTCTCCGTATGTCTGTCCGTCAACGTTACGCGAGCGGTCTTTATATAATCTACCGCGCGTCGATATCTAGTAATTTCTAGAACAGTAAGTCATCAACACCCAGATCTAGAACGCTCTTCAAAGAGACAGAAGAAAAGAAAAAAAAAACAAAAAAAAACCACCCTCCTTTCAACCAGAGGTACACACATAGGTCAAGGACCGGTCACTGTCTGTGTGGCTTGACTCACCGTGAAAAATAAAAAAAAACTTATTACACAAGGGGCAGACAACCTACAGGTCAAGAAAAAAAAACAATAGTATCTAGGCATTGTTACCTAGATACGTAACAATATATATAGTGAACGTGATGTAGTCCAGTTCAATGGATATATTTGAATATCGAATAGCCATCATTTAGAGATGACCTGTTATCAAATATAAGGGACCTGCCATCAATCAAAGCCGACCTGCTTTTAACTATAGGAGACCTCTCATCAACTAGACAAGGCCTGCCATCTTCTAGAGAAGACCTGGCGAGGACTGGGATTTTTAAGTTCGGGATCTTTGGTGACCTCTGAGTCCAACCAGCTCTAAATGGGTACCTGGCATACGTTAGAGGAAGGTAAGGGTGGTTGGTCGTTGTGCTGGCCACATGACACCCTTGTTAACAGTGGGCCATAGAAACAGATGACCCTTACACTCACTATCTGCTGTATAGATCGCAAGGTCTGAAAGAGGAACTTAATTATTTGTAGTTTCATTATACCAATTGGTATTGATGTTTATTGTGTGATATATTGCAAGAGTCAATATGTTCTTTGTATTGTTTGGATATAGATTACAATTTAAGGTGTAGATGTGGTATATAACGTTCTGACTGGATAAATATCTGTTATAGTGCACCTCGTACTATGTGGATATAGTGTATAACCTATTGTCTAATTGTGTCGGGCAAACCAGGGCACTGCTAAAGACAGGCCCTTAATAATTCAAGATCATCTAGTGGGCAGAACTCTGGTCACCGCAGGTCCACACAACTTTCAGGCGTCAATTACTACACAAACACTCCATCGGGGTGACCGGTCCATCTACCTGACGCTCGGCACGGGTCAAGCAACCTAAAGTTCAAGGTGATGATGACCACACTACAGAACAAGGGCTATCGCACCGAGTATGAGATTATTTGAGATTATCTCATTAATGAGTTTAAATCTTAGCGATAGGGGAGATGTCTCTATATCTCATAGGCGTATCTTACAATGGTCCTTTTTTATGGCAATTACGGTAAATGAGATCAGCGACACACAATGATGTAACTAAATGGTTGTTGCTTCTATTTCTTGGTGTCCAGTTTACCGTTGTCAACCTCAGTTATATTCGACTAGTCGAGCCGCGGCGTAGCATACGCCGCTTCTTAATGGCTATATGGAGAGACGTTGACCCGGATTGTAAACTAGAGGAAGGTCATGGGGACGTTTTCGGAAGTGAATAGTAATAGTGGCGGGAAGTATTTGAGACATCGCCACAATTTCAGCCTCGCCACCATAAACGCGGGAAGTAGTCATGTAAGCAGCGTCTTGTCAAGCAGAGTGTATGACTGCTTCCGTAAGTAAAAAACAAAGCTTACAGTCATCTCGCGAAGTTCGAGAGCAACAGTTTCGTCGATGACATTTTTTCCAGAAATATGTGACTGATAGAAATAAACAGTTACCTGGTGCGGGAATTTCGACTACATTAAAAGACTCCACGAAATATATGTGAAGCTGTGGCTATGGTTAGGAAACGAAGGGTAATACGAAGGGTTAGAGAGTCGGAGTGCGTGCGTGGTGTCCCACATGGTTGGGCGACGTAGAGACTTGTTCCCCCCTCTTTTCCTTTTTTCGCCGCGAATGTTACGTGGGGTAACTCTAGTCCGACTTGCAAAAATAAAAGAGTTATCTTTCCATGATTTTTTCATCGAGGGTTAGAGAGTCGGCGTGCGTGCGTGTTCCTCATGGTTGGGCGACGAAGAGAAATATATATATAGATTCCGAAGTAGACTCTAAAGAAATACTAAGTAAGAGATAGAGAAAAGAGGGGAACAGAATTTATTAACTCTTTCTCTCCGTAACTCTTTTCCACGTTCCAATGGAATTATTCATTTTGTTCATTGTTTATTTAGAATAAAAGAGGATTGCATGCTCTTTTTACACAATGCCAATTAATGTTCATAAAACCAAACATTAATTTAATATAATGAGGTCAAATCGACGTTTGTATCGTCAATTAGGAGAGAAAGAGTTAAAACCATGAGAGATAGGGTGATAGAGTGTAAGATGGCTGCCTGGCCGTGCGATATGCGCACAAGACCGAGACTAATTGTCATAGAAGAGTTGACCAATGACATGCCTAGGGCAGGGGAGACCAGCTCGTTGCCTGGTCACAGGTCTGTTCGACGCAGGTCAGTGTTGCGGTCTTTATGACGAATGGTCTTGGCTAGACTGTCGTTCGGTCGTCTCGATGGTCTCGGGCTCAAATCCTGCCCGCTGCCATACCCTGTCGTCCTGCGGCAGGTTTGGACTAGGATCTAGACTATTTTTAACTCTGACGGAACATGCGAAATATGTAAAACAAACATTTTACAAGATTGAAAGAAAGCGACAATGGAAATGAATTAAAACTATAATAAACACAATGACCGAGGAGGGATGTGACAACCTACCCCCCGTTATCTACAGGACCATATACATAACCTACTTAAATTTTGGTTACCTGTCAGAAGACAGTGATGACGCAGGCCTGCCACATCACTGGAAAATGTATCAGTGGCTACTGTTAAGCGGACTACATTGGATTTCGCTTCTATTTAAACGAATCTTGAACTTGGCATCGCAGGAGAATGACTATAATCTATTTAAAAATGTTGGGAGACTGAACAATTTTAAGTGGCTAATCATACCCAAGTGTGACCTAATTAGTTATCGCAAAAACGTTGACAAAGTTGATGTCTCCCGGAAGGTAATTTAAATATTATTTTAGTCGTCTGCTTGTGTCCTACGATGTTTTTTTTTTTCATTCCGCGGTCATCGTAAGAGCTGTCCGGCTGACCCAGTAGCCAGCCACTGCCAGCTGTCTTCCTTTAAAACATTAAAGTCAAGTATGATCAAGTCTTTCAAGCGTTTTCTAGAATAGAAGCAACTATAATAAACCGTCTCCTTTAACTCTCTCTCTCCTAACTGACTATATCACCGTTGATTCCACCAGAATGAGGTAAATAATTACGGAGAGAAAGAGTTAAGCATCAATATCAAATAAAAAAAACAAAACCTAATGAAATACTAAGAAAGACACAAAGGTAGAGACACATTTCTTATTTCATAAGCTAGGACTTATTTTTACAAGTGTAAAGATAAGATAAGAATACTACTGAATAGCCAATTGTACTACAAAGTTTTATCATTTCTAATGACGTCATTGAAATTGGCGTACTTTTTTCATAAATTACAGTTAGAGGAAAATGAAAAAAGAAGAAGATGGCCACTATTTGACATTGATGCATTGTTTTGTAAGCGAAGTATTGGAATTCACTGGTTAAAGGTAGACTTAGATGAAATAATTAATTATCATATCTAATTGCTATTAATTCTATGCAGTACGATAGATCAATACGGACAGGAACCCAATCTAAGTCTTGATATCTAGATTATAATATTAAATATAATAATAATAATAATAATAATAATAATTTTATTTATAAAGCGCTGTTGACAAACAAAATGTAGGCTCAAGGCGCTGTAACAAGATTACAAACACAAACGCGACAGCTAAAATGACAGTTTATCTAAAAAAGTTTTAAACAGATAGGTCTTAATGTTCTTCTTAAAAGTGGTGTAGCATGTTGTCTGTCTGAGATCAATGGGGAGTGAGTTCCAACCTTTGGTCCGTGAACTGAAAAAGCCCGCAGACCGTAGTTTTTGAGGGAGAAACGTGGCACTACTAAAAGCGTTGAGTCCATTGAACGCAGGGCTCTCTGGGGGACATATGGAGTAATCAGATCGCTAAGGTA